TCTCCGTGATCCAGCCGCTTTGCCCCAGGCGTCCCCAAGTCACCGCTGCTGAAACTGACCAGCGGCTGAATACAGGAAGCCCGAGGCAGAGTTGCTCTGCCCTGGGCTTCCTGGAATCAGCCGCTGATCAGTTTCAGCAGCAGCTGACTTGGGGACGCCTGGGGTTCGTAAGTTGAATCTGTATGTAAGAACTGGCATACAAATTCCGCCTGTTGAAACTGATCAGCGGCTGATTCCAGGAAGCCCAGGGCAGAGCAACTCTGCCTCGGGCTTCCTGTATTCAGCCGCTGGTCAGTTTCAGCAGCGGCTGAATCTGGATGCCAGATCCAAATTACAGATTCAACTTAAGAACAAACCTACAGTCCCTATCTTGTACGTAACCCAGGGACTGCCTGTACATTAACTTCTTCAGACACAGATACTAAACAGACATCCCTGCACTGGAGAGACGGATAAATATTTACACTTTCTGAACAATATGCGTTCGCTGGGTTACATGAAATTACTTTCCATCACTAGAGACCTACACCCATTATATAAATACTACAAAACTGATCCTCCATATGCTCATCCAGGATTGTAACTGACAAGTTATTTTTATCTCTAGAAAGTTAAGAATTTAGGAATCTGCGTTTAAAAATTCTAGCCTGAAGTCGGGTATCTCAATCTCATTTCCAAAAGTGCTGAATTCGTTTAACAGTGCCTAAATATGTATTAAGGGCCTTTTTAAGACAACTGACACTTACCCGAACACAATGGGTCACGAAAGAATCAATGTAGTCCTTAGCCTGGTGGTTGTTATATAGACAACATCTATAAGAAAATATTCACAATATCACATGAAACTATGATTGCTCTAAATACTGACCGTTATCCAACTAAGAGAAGAGATACTGACTTAAGCCATGTTAGGGAAAAAAGGAGGACAACCTATACTATCTAGGTCATAAGAATTGGCAGCCAGCGATTTGTGGACCGGCAGTTGTGACTTCTTCAATACATTAAGAATCTCTACTTAGATACAACTGATTATACATTTTACTGTAACTGAACTGAAATTTGAGGTTCTTGATTTTAAACAGAAAGGCACATGAAATATTTTGCACTGATGCTTAAATAGAATAAAGGCAGCTCTACTTACTTAGGAGAAAGTACTGGAGGACTGACAAACGATCTTAATGCATCTTTCACCATATCTTGTATGAGATGCGTACCAAATACCTTCTTATTATCCACAAGAAAAGTAGTCTGGAAATAAAAGATTTTTTTTGAATTTAAGTATCAGAGGGGTAGGGTAGCCATGTTAGTCTGGATCTGCAAAAGCAACAAGGAGTTCTGTAGCACCTTATAGACTAACAGATGTATTGGAGCATAAGCTTTCGTGGGCAGAGACCCACTTCATCAGATGCATTTTTTGCATCTGATGAAGTGGGTCTTTGCCCATGAAAGCTTATGCTCCAATACATCTGTTAGTCTATAAGGTGCTACAGGACTCCTTGTCGTTTTTTTAATTTAATCATCTATTATTAGAAATATACTTTCTATAGAATAATAGTTGATTTATGAAGTGACTATAGTAGTTATACTATTTCAAAAATCTTATGAGATACACTCCATTAAAGTTAAATTGTTTGGCAGGTACATGGTGAGAGACACAGAATTGGGAGGCATCTAGGGACTCTCTCTGACACAACAGGGGCAGTGAGCATTGCTCATATCACTCCTGACTTATAATCATGAAGGCTCAGCATGCAAACGGATTATATAGCTGCGCTAATAACAGAGTTGCCCTCTGTTCTAAAGGTTTGACACATGAATTTCTATCTGTGCTACATAGATTGCTGGCCAGGATCCTTCGGGGAGTGGCAGAGGAGAGGCAAAGCAATGTCCCAGAAGGCAGGAGAAAATGCAAGCAACAGGGTAGGTGTCAGAAAGGAACTTGCCTTGTGGTACCTTCTATTATCTACATTTTCTTTTGCCTCCATAGCCAATGTGCCCATTTAATTTTCCCCTCCATGATTACAGTATCCCCCACCTGCAGCATTGAAAGTGCATGTTAAGCAGGATCTATTGGTAGGCGTCTTAGGAGCTGCACAGCTGAGGAACTTAAAAAGCAGATTCTTAGTTGGTGTAAACTGGCAATGGAATTATGACTTGAATGGAGCTATGACACTGTGCATAAATAGAGATCTATAAGGGGAACATACTCATTTCAATGCAGTTTAGAAGTTTTGCAAGTTAGAGGCTCCTCTTGCAAACTTCTTCAGTTCCTTGTATTAGCTTTGGTCTCTGATAACTGTCTTGCCTCTTTTCATCCACTCCCCTAATCATGGGTCCTTGTTGTATATGTTCTGTGATATATCACACAATAAATGAGACCCTGCTAACAATGCTCTTTAGCTATCCAGAGAGTAGGCAAGGAATAATGTTTCATTTGGGTGTAAGTTAATGCCATCGTGAGGTGAACCTTCCTTTTCCTCCTCCTCCTGCAGCCTAACATTTACAGTTAAGAGAAATTCTCAGTTTTTCCAGCAAAAAATGGTTTTTTGACCAAAATGAAAAAAGTTTTTGATTTTGGTTAAAATCTTCCTGTTTTCTGATAAAAAAACAAACACTGAAAAACTTGGTTTTGAAAAAACATTTTGTGGTAATTTTTGTATCTTTGGTTAAAAAACATTTTTTTCATTTTCTTGAGAACAGATTATAAAGTCTGAGGTTTTATTCAATTAGACTTTTATAGCTTTTGGGTTTTCATTCAAAAACCAAAATATTCTGTGGAAAATTTAAACAACAGCATTTTACAATTTCCCACGAACAAAAAATGTTTTTCCATGAGCTCCAGGTTCAAAGACATCCAGATGTCAGAAGTTGGCTACTGCTGTTCAAAGAAAAGCCTGCTGGAAGAAGATATTTTACTCTGAGTCAAAAAAACCCTTAGAGTGTTATTTAATAGAACACTGAGAAGTGAACAGGCTACAAACAGTCAGTTCTTTCCCAACCTTCAGCTGCTGATATAGCAGTAGAAATATCCTCTGTGTGATAATATTCAGCTATTGGGTGGCCCTTTATACTAGTGGTTTTCAAACTTTTTTCCCATGACCCAGTTGAAGAAAATTATTGATGCCTGCGACCCAACAAAATTTGACTATAGTGTGGGCTCTAGTGTGGGGCTGAGGATGAGCGCTTTGGGTTGTAGGAGGGGACTCAGGCTTTGGAAGTGAGTCAGGGCTGGGGCAGGAGGGGCTTATCTCAAGTGGCTCTCGGTCAGTGGTGCAGCAGTGGTGCTAAGGCAGGCTTCCTGCCTATTCTGGCACCGCAGATCATGCTGCGCCCTAGAAGCAGCCAGCAGCAGGTTCCCAGCCAACGGGAGTGCAGAGCTAGTGCTCAAGGAAGGGGCAGTGTGTGGAGCCCTATGCAC